GTTGCAGAATCTAAACGGAAGTGCTGACATTGTGTGCACAATGTATCTGAATCTTACACTTAGAAAAGCAAAGTTCCAAGGACATTGGTGGTGGTAGCAGCTACTACCCTGTCAGTGAATATGATATGTACTCAGACTGACAGCCTCTGAAAGGCTTAATGGAGTTCTGCAAGCTAACCATGCAAGCCAACAGTCTATTTCCTCTCCCAATGACGGCTGAATGATATGACATTGCATTACTTGCTACACGGAAAAGACTCAATCATCGTTAGGTTACAAAATACATACATCAGAAAGACTGAAAAATATGGTTAGTAGCTTATGAGCCTTATAGCTGAAGACGTGCTCCACTTTGATCTGGAGGGGAAAGGTAGTGTAACAGCTTTCACAGAACCCATCTATAATAAAAATACATTGAATTGGCTTGAGTTTCTGTGCTTGAGAGAGCATAAAAGGCACTTTGCCTATAGGATACAAAATGCCCAGAGAATGAAAAATGTTCAGAAAAGGTCATAAAAGGTGAACACTTCTCAGAAAAATATATAAATACTGAGAACATGGAAGCAGATTATTTACTTTTATTTTCTATTGACGAAAAGAACAGAAAATGTCACAGTTTGAGATAATATTCATTCTAATATTTTTATATACATTTTATTTAACTAAAATATATTAGTTGTTCTAGGGTGAATATTGAATTTTAACATAATATAATAGTATAACCAAAATTTGAGATTGTAAATAAAATAATAAATAAAAAAAACTTTTGTTACTAAACGAATTAGATTTTACAAAAAATAAAAAAATTAAACTACTTTTTACATTAAGCTTTCAATCATATTATTTTCACATTTACATTATGTTTACATTTGTGAAAAGGTTTTGAGATGATTATGTACATTTTTTTTTGCTTTGTATATTAATTTAAAAGGATTTTAAACATGCAAGGACAAAAGTTCATAAAGGTGCCTTTAAACTAGCTTAGATCATCTCCCTTAGGTCAGAGAGTACAAAACATAAATAGCCACTTAAGGTTTAAGCATGGGTCAGTGAGCCTATAAGAGTAAGTGTGTGAGCCAGTCTAGCCATAATGTGTGTGGGTTGCAAGATTCTGAGGAGACTTTAACAGCTGCCTGATTTTTTTTTTTTTTAAGCGTCTATGACTTTAAAGGCTTTTCTGTCTTTACGATCTCCATTTTTATTAAATTTTACATTTTGTATAGATTATTCAAAAAACAGCATGGCCAGTTGTGGCTATCTAGAGGCAAATATTTCTCTTTTTTTTTAGTCGATTTGTCCAATGCAAAAAAAATTATTACATGGTGGTTACACGGTGGCTCAGTGGTTAGCACTGTCACCTCAAAGCAAGAAGGTCACTGGTTTGAGCCCTAGCTGGGTCAGTTGGCATTTCTGTGTGGAGTTTCCTTGTTCTCCCTGTGTTGAAGTGAGTTTTCTCCAGGTGCTCCGGTTCCCTCCACGGTCCAAAGATGTAGTTTATGTAAATTTAATAAATTAAATTGGCCGAATATGTATGTGTGTGCATATGAGAGTGTACGGGTGTTTTACTGGGTTGCAGCTGGAAGAGCATTTGCTGTGTAAATACTGGATAAGTTCATCCCGCTGTGGTGACCCCTGATAAATAAAGGGACTAAGCCGAAGGAAAATGAATGAACAAATAAATGCATTTGGCTTTTGGAAATTATTTTTGAGATTTTTGTGATTTTTAGTGAATCTATCAACTATTTTTTTTAAACTTCTAAACATTATTTCACTGTATCTGCAAGCCATCATATCCAAAATGCTTCATTCATTAATCAAAAAAAGATTAAATTGGCTAGTGGCTATATTCTAAATGGAATTAATAAATTATTCAATAGCTATCATATGCTGTTTTATTGTTTCATTTGCAAGTTTAACTTTTGAAATATTAATTAAAAGTTTTGGATCAGCTGATGTATTTTGAAGACATGAAATTGTGTTTCAGCAAAGCTGCGAACTTGAAGTTTCAAGAATGTGAACTTTTTTTTTTATGTGCCAAATAATTTATAAAAAATGTGTCCAATTAATTGATACAGTTTTACAAGTTTATAAGATAATCAAGAACTTAATTTGCACTTCATACCATACTCATTATAGTTTTCTGTGTTTAATATTCACTGGCTCCATCTTTATTATTATAGGCTACCTAAAAGCTCTAAATTGTACTAAAAGTTTTCATTTTTAAAAATGTATGAATTCATCATGGGCAGCACTGTGGCACAGTGGGTAGCGCTGTTGCCTCACAGCAAGAAGGTCGCTGGTTTGAGCCTCGGCTGGGTCAGTTGGCATTTCTGTGTGGAGTTTGCATGTTCTCCTTATTTTGGGGTAGGTTTCCTCCGGGTGCTCCAGTTTCCCCCACATTCTAAAGACATGTGCTATTGGTGAATTGAATAAACTAAATTGTCCATAGTGGATGTGTGTGAACGGGAGTGTATGAGTGTTTCCCAGTGATGGGATGCGGCTGAAAGGGCATCTGCTGCGTAAAATATGCGGTATAAGTTGGCAGTTCATTCTGCAGTGGTGACCTCAGATTAATAAAGGGACTAAGCTGAAAAGAAAATGAATTAATTAATTTATCATTACCAATATATTTAATGTCACACTGTAAAAAGTCATTTTGTGGCCTTGTAGATTTCATTAATATTAATATGTACACTTTATTTAATGAAATTAATTTCCTGATTTTAGGGCATTTTTTTGCTTTGAAATTAATTAAAAAATGTCTGTAATAAAATCTAATCAATTTTATTATAAGAATTTAGCTGTTATTTTTGAATAATTTCAAAAAGAGAAAATATTAATTAAATCCAACGTGATTTTATTAGAAGAATTTAGCTGTTATTTTTGAATAGTTTTAGAAGAGAAAATAATCATTAAATCCAACGTGATTAAAATGAGCATTTTCAGATTAGCCAGGGGCACACAAGTTGCCGAGGACTAGCTGCCCTTGCCGGGGACACGAGTGATGAGCGCTGGTCATGACCTGTTAACTGTGTTCTGTTTCAGCACAGCATTGAGTTAAAGTGACCACAGAATAAAGTAAGCAAGGTAAGCACTGGCCTTCACTTCATTATGAACTCCATTATCAAACCAAAACAAAAATGGTACTGTCTAACACTATTTACTAATTACAACTTTTTGTATAGTGTCAGAGGCAGAGGAGACACATCAACCAGCAAGTGTGTAACTTATCAGGAAAATGACTGACTGAATGGATGACTGTCTAGGTTGCAAGCAGGACATACTTGTTACAGTTAAGTATTTCAGCTACAACATACTGTTAAATCACAATAACCATCTTGCCATTAATTGTAACTTCACAGTAAAGTATAGTTAATTCTACAAGAGAATAAGGTGAAATCACAGAAATGGGCCTTACTATATACCTTGAAGTCACATATGGCTGTAATTTCACTGTAAGTAAGTGTAAAACAAATCACAGTGGCTTACTGTGAAAGAATTACAATTATCAGTCAGTAATTTACTGTTAATTAAGGGTCAAATATTTTACAATGTATCAATAAAACTCATGTAAACATTTTTTTTATTTATTATTAGGGGTTTTCACCTTTATTTTTAAAAGGACAGTAGAGAGAATTGACAGGAAAGCATGAAGAGCAGAGAGAGGGGAAGGATCGGCATAGGACCGCGAGGCGGAATCAATCCCGGGTCGCCGCGAGCACCTGAGTCGATGCACTAACCACTACACCACTGGCGCTGACAAAACTCATGTAAACATTTTGTCTGTCATTCTGTTGTTTAAGGTGAGCGCTGAATTGGAGAAGCCACTGTGTACCATGAATCTTTACAGCTGCTGAGGAGCTCTTGGAGTAAGACAGAGATCTGAGACTAAAGGTAGAGTTTATGATGTTTATCATGTTTACAGTTTCTGACTGTATGTCATAACATGATAACAGATTATTAACATATTTTCTCTTTTATTCATTTTTGTTCTTACTGTTGCTCAATGGAGTTGGACAATGAAGAACCGACAAGAACTGAACGGCTTGTGAGGGCAGTAATGTTGACCTGAGCAGGGGCCTTCTACAGGGGACCGCCTAAAGATACTGGCATCATCATCATCATCATTGAAGGTGTTAAAGTTCTTATAGACCTCATCTTTACCAGACTCAGGCAAACTCTGCTTTCACTCTGCCCAAAGCCCCAGCTGGACTGTTTTGGCCCAGGGTATCCGATCAGGCCCCGGAAGTGACTGTGGAAACTTGACTGGCCCTGGCTCGCATTGGCACGCTAACTTAAGTCACGAGAGTGAAAACATGGCTCTTGACTACATTCCTAGAGCTTGTGTCCACCTGGGTTTGACCTATGCATTTTGACTGTGACAAAGAATGTTGTTTTTACAAGTGACTGTCTGGTTAACACTGAAAGATATTATAGGGTAGTATTCCCAAACTGTGGTGTCCTCTTTGCTTCAATGAATCTGCATTATTCTGGCAAATAATACCTTTCATGCATTAAATCACATACATTTCACTCTGAGTCTATTGTTTTAAATAATATTGTTTAATGTCCAGTTGTTTGAAACTGTTGTTTAAAAAAAGATGATCAAAGTCCTTGTTAAGATGATCAGTTTGTTTAAATGTACATGTTTTATTGTGTATTATATGACGTATTGTCTATTGTGAGATTGTTGTTAATCTGTATTGTGGCTCCACACTGCTGAACAGGCTCCTTTAATTTGAGCTAAATTTAATTACATTTTACTCAATCCATACTTGTTGAGTTTAATTAATATTATTGCTTGTAATCTGTTGCCTCAATTTTATTGTGTAAATATAAAGCAATATTTTCTAGAGCTGATGACCAGGCTCCACACTTTTTATGTTAAATCTAAATAAAAACATTGAGTAGTTTTTATTAACATTGTGTCAGTTTTTCTGTTCAATTTAATTAATATTTTTGTTTAAAATTTGCTAATTTCTTTAAGTACTTTTTGCTTAATTTAAATTACTAATTTTAAATAAGCTAATTTGATGAATTGTTACTCAATCCATATATGTGGAATTTAATTAAAAATATTGCTTGTAATCTGTTGCCTCAAATTTATTGAGTAGATATGGGGTATTATTTTTTACACTGCAGTTGTCTAACACAATATCTTGGCTAGCTAGCTTAGTATTTTTGTTCATGATTTCAACTCACCAAAAAATGGCCGTGGCCTGCAGTGTTTAACGCAGTTTAATAAAAATTTATAATAAATGAAGCTATTTACTGTGGTACTTGTAGACACTCAGTCCAGGTGACTTCTCAGAAGGCCTACCATTATTAGGCTATGACATTTCTAAAATAAACCACATTTCAAACAGGCATGCAACATAGCTCAATGGTATAAGATGGTCCAGAGGGAAATTTGTTTTTTTTTTAAATACATATATTTAAGGCCTGCAACTTGTCTGAAAGGTGAAAATTCTCCTGTCAGAAAGGCTCAGACAACGTGTCTTTCTCCCTTGAAATAGTATCCACTATCCAGAACCCAAGGCGTGGCGTTGTGTACGTAGTGCCTACATGTGCTACAAACCACAGGGAGAAATACATGCAGTCAGGCTGTCGGTCAAACAGTGCCCCGCCTTTTCAATCATATGATTGGACGTCGCAGCAAGGGCGCCGCATGCGATTGGTGGACGCCGCTGTCTGTTAGTTTTGAAGCGCTGTCTGCTTCCTTGCCGCTGTGTGTGATGTTTTGAAGGGGAAATGGGTTCAGATTTCTTGATGGGGACGGAAGAGGGAAGTAAATAATTTAAATGTCACTGATATCCGGCAATATACATTAGGGGGACCGTCAACCAACGTTCACACAGTATCCTTGCTCCTGAAAAAAATCGTCTGGATAACCTTCTGAATTCGTAAGGCTGAAGTTTGAGTCCTGTAGCACTCCTGTCTTTGTTACCGTACAGTAGTCGCATAAGGGACGTCCGTAATAAAGTAGCGAATAAATGACAGTCTCATTAACATGAATCGCTTGCTTTTTTAATCACTTGCTGTTTATCATTTTTACTGTCCTGGTCATTATCTGGTTACCTAGCGATGGTAAGCAGAGGGTCTTCATCTGCTTTGTGCGAACAAAGGACATGTTAACTTGACCAAAACAGATCAATGCTGTTATTATCAATAGCGCGTTTTCCTAAAGCGGAAATTCTGGACTTGTTACCTTGAAGTGCCCTTTGATGTGGCAAGAGTCCGAAAATCATACGGAAGATGGCATCAACTAAAGGAAAAGCTGGAATAAATAATGAAAGCAGTTCTGGTCGGGATAGTGGCAGGACAGAAGCTGGCAGCCCCACGTTACCCGCAGGGGCCGCATCCCTGACCACCAACCGGACCTACACACTAGATGACCTGGATACAATTGCCACCGTTGGTGAGTTAACGTTAAGTTAGTCCTGGATTCAATTAAAACACTATAAATGTGTTGCCAAATTTCTTTATGAACAACAAAGTATGTACAGCCTGGTTTATCCCATCAAATTACTTCATTTTAAGATTTGTTTTATTCGTATTCCTACGATAACAGTTTAACATGCCGAATTATAGATATAGATACAAGCCAGAGCTTTATAGCAGCATAATAATTTGCCCTGGGAATGCCAATGGGACTGACTCCAGTCAGTAATGGCCTCTCAAGTACACCTGCATCCTTGCCTTGCTCTTAACAGCAATACATAATAAATATACGTTAGGCTATTTCAAAGTTATACTTTTTATAATTTGTCATTTGATTTGAATTTGCATTTGATTGAGGTAAAAAAACTAACTGCCACTTTGAAAGGCACAGGTGGGATACTTAGTAAGTAAAGGTAAACAAACAACACTATATAAAACAAAAAGATCCTGAGCAAATTAATCAGCAATGTTCAATCCATGGATGAATACACCAAGACGTTTTGTTAAAATGTAGCCTGTTTAAAATGTTTAAAATCAGTTGAATTTTCAACCAGTTACACAAATGTACAACTTTGAGTGCAGGTGTGTCTATCAGGCTTATTTTTGTACTGACCATGAGTAATGTACTGCTATGAACATTTCCATATATATATATATATATATATATATATTATACTTGCAAAAATCACAATGTTAAACTTGTAATATTGCATAAATATTTTTTTATTTAGTTTTTCTTTTCTAATACAATGCTAGTGGACATTATCATTGGTAGTTACTAAGTCAATACATAGAGTCATTTTTTGGAGAACTTTGTGTATATGTTTTAAAATTTGATTTTTTTTTCCTTTTTTAAATTTAAAATTTTTTTTTTGTCAATAACCCAAATGTAAAATATTAATATAAGGATTAGACATCGGCCGGTATAATATTTTGATGGTATGATGATAACCTTGCATAAAAATATCACTGTTTTACGGTATTGTGATTACTGCTCAGAAATATAATCTTTTTAACTGTCTGGGTAAAAAAACAAACGCCCTTTTCCCTATTTGTAAACAATATATTTTATTTTGACAAACATTTAAAATATTTTGGAGCAGCAAACATGTCGTGCTCAATAACTCAAATGTATCAGTGACGCCTGTCTTTATTCATTTCAAAAACCCTGATTTCTTCACAATTTTAAACGGCATCATTGGATATCTTTTCTGCAGGAGGTACTGTTGTCCTAAAAAAAAAAAATTGTATTTAAAAAAAAAAATTGACTATTCAAAAACTCCAATAGGTTACATTTTAAAACTAATTAAGGTATAATATTTAAGATAAACTGTATTGTTTTATCACAAAATTACTGGTTTTACTATGGTAAATCAAAAAGTGGCTTCTTAAAAAACAATAAAAATAATAATCTCACCCACCCAAAGCTTTCAGAAATTGAGTGTATATATCATATCATATGATATCATATTAAGGGCCAATCCCAATTCTATTTTTGTACCCCTACCCTTTCCCCTTGGCCCTTGAAACAGAGTGTGAAGGGGAAGGGCTTCAAAATTTACCTCTAAGAAATGGGACACCACTACAGCACCTGCACACAACATCATGTCATCGCGATCTCTTTCTTCTTATGAGATCTATGGTCATGACTGCTGTTGTTATTCCAGATGCGTTATTTTGTGGCATTTTACTTCAGGAAATCACTGAAGACAACGATATCATGTTATCATAATGATATAATGCGTTAATAAGTTCATAACTGTACTGTGTATTTACACCATGGCCATAATTATCTATGTAAACACACAGAAACAACATTAACATTATAACAGACACTGTAAAAAGGTGGTTGCCAGCCACTACACTTTTCTGACAGGGTATCCGAGGGTCATCGAGTATCAGAATGTTGTGAGACTACTATACAGGATTTATTATTAGAGATTATATAGCAAAATTTAGCGTTTTTTACTTTAGCTTTTTTATTTTATCTTAAGCATATCGGTAAAACACGAACGGCGTCATAAATGTATTAAAACATGCTTGTTTGTTGTAAAATTTTGTAATAGTGACAAAGAGTACAAGTTTTTGCACTTCCTTTCTTGTGTGTGCAGCCATGGTGCAGTTGTAGATGGTGTATTTTGGAAAATTTTCATTACTTAAAAATGGTTACATATATTAAAGGTTTACCCACTCAGCAGTTCAAATCTACAATTTATAGACCAGCCTGCAGAATTTCACTTACATCCATGCAATACTAATGAAAAAACTAATGTGTAATTTAATTGTTTATTTATGGTTTTGTTTTCTTTGATTTTTTATACATAACACAAAGAGAATAATCAATGGCATGCTTTATTTGTTCTTCATTTTTTTACGCCCCTGAAGACATCTCTCTTATAGTTCACTCACACCTCTAACACATTTTAATTAGTTTCATTACACACCTTCTCCTCTACTCCCACATTCGACAGTGAAACATAATTCAAGTATATACGTGCTGTGCACACAAATAGAATAAGGCCTATCTGACGAGGTGTAAATCTCATGTGACTAAATCATATCTGTTAATAGAATGCTGAGTTTCTAAATAAGCCCCTATATTTATATTGAATTACACGGCAAGAATGTTACCTCCTTTCTGAGCACCAAGTACTTCCTGATTAGTATTAGCAGCATGTGATTTCAGGCAGAAACTGATAGGATTATTACTCAAGCTGCAGAACAATCATCATGACTAATAATTGAACAACCTAAATATATATTTTTTTATCATACATTTTATTTTTCTGCACACCATTTTAGTGGTTAAATTCAGTAAACAAAGCATGTCCAATAAATTTACATCATTAAACGTATTAACATCAGTCTATTTCAGATTTTAAAAGTCTATTTCTATTTTCAGATTATAATTTATAGAAATAATATTGAAATGGTTATTTGTTTTTTTTCCCCCAAAGTCTGTTTGTTCTCATGTCATTAACTAATTAGCACATGAATAAATACAGTTTATTTATTGCATTAAAATGATTTACTGATATTTTATTTACTGAAAAATAATAATAATAATAATAATAATAGTAATAATAATAATAATAATGATCTTAAAAACAACAACAATAATAATAATAATTAGCAGTGATTCACGAATTTTGCATCTGAACTCATTCATTTGAACTTCATTTGTTTTATCACAGTTCAGAAATCAAAGTGCTATATATTTTGCATAAAATAATTAATTTATTGCAAGGCAAAGGGCAACACGGCTAATATTAGTTCTGCTTTTTTATGACCTGGGGCTGTATTCGCAAAACATTTGTTTAAAGTTAAGGCTAAAAGTAACTCATAATCTGCTTTTTAGGAGAAAATATTAAATATAATGGTTGTATTAGTCTTAAATTTAAAGCTTCTATATTCTTTCTTTAAGAGTATATCATAAAGTGTTTTAGAGCTAAATCTAGCTCCTAAACTTGTGAAACTTTCTAAGTTTCTAGAGAAGTCACTAAGACCAAACCACAAACTATTTCTAAACGGCTGCTACTGAAAACAAAATAAGCATTGCAGAAACATTTGTCCCCAATGAGCTTAAAAAAACCTCTTAACCTCTTAAATGCAGTGCTATGCCCAAGCAGTAAAAATGTGTTTTAAAATATATATCTTAAATTTATTTCAAAATACACCAAAAAATTGACCAATTAAATTTTCAAAAATACAGTTATGCAAATATATGTATCTACATGTACTCTATCTATTTATCTCATGCAGTGTATCTATAAATAACATTTTGGCACACAATGCTGCTCTCTGTGAACACAGATGGAAAATTGATAGAAAGCGCATGTACACGTTTAGAACGCATTGACGTTAGACATCTACTCTGTCCAATCAGAACATTCTAATGCAGATGACGTGTTCACATCTGCGCTGTTTTATGAAAATAAAAGCCTTTGAATCCTTGTCTAGACACATTTAGCTGCTGCTTGTTTGTCAGATAACATTTCTATTTTCCTTAATGCCATTTATGGAGAAAAAAAAATAAATCAATAAAATGCTTATAATAAACCACTGTAAGCTTACCTTCAAGCTCTGTTTAGCTGTCTGATGTGCATGCACATGAAGGAGTGCTCCAGGTAGTCCGATTTTGTTAAAAATAGTAGTCTTTTGTTATAAAGAGCATCTCTCAAGCTGTAGCACAAACTCAAATGTACATCTTGATATAGGTATATGATCCTCCCATATTTCTTCATCAAAATTGTTCACAATATTTATCTATCTTCGGAATTCTGAATTCAGAATTAATTTCATAAGATTTTTAATTTTGAGCTTAAAGTTAAACAAAACTTTTTTTGCAAAAGGACTGACCCCTGTGTACAAACACAAGCACAGCTGTTTAGAGCTCATTTACAGTTAATTTTTTAATTTTTATTTGCTTGTTTATTTTACAGGGACAATACACTTGACATTGTTATACAAAGATAACCGATGTTGTGTACATAGGGCATATAGCATAAAGCTAATTTGCAGCCCTCGTCCCTGGTTAGGCTTTACATTAAAAAAAATAATAATATAAAAAAACAGTCAAGAATAAAACACAATACAGCAAACATGTACAATATTTACAGAGCCATAAACATAAGATGCAAGTCAATATGGATAAAGAGAAATGTAAATGGGACCAAACTGAAAGAATAATGCTTAATGTTCACATTGCTGTAAAGATTTCAACCATTCTTTCAGCTTTACAGAAAAAACTCGGAGTTCTGATTGTAACTTTAAATGAACAGGCACATGTGAACCTTTTACTGAAAAGGATGACTGACCCACAGCAGTTCTGCATCTGCTGATTCTACAATTCCCACTTACTGCCCCTCTAGTCTTCGCCCCATCACTGCTGAATTTATTTATTAACTCACAAACTACTTTAGGAGCAAGACCATGTATACACTTAAACATGTTTTTTAAAAACGAAAACTTTAAAAA